TCATGATCTCTTTATCAAATCCAGGTATTTTTCAGCAATGGACGAATAATGGCGGTTTTAATGTATTGTAGAACTTTGGAATCCGATAAAGATTTGTTGATTATTGTGCTAATCAGTGATAGCAAGTGTTCAAAATTCTGTTTCAGTAAAAATGTCGGAATGGGATCCAACTCGCATGATTTTGCTGAAAATAATTTCTTTCCAATAAACCACTGTTAGATACTGGTGCAAATTAATAAAAATGTTCACCTCTTAACTCGGTATCAGATGACAAACAAGCAGTTTCTGAACCTATATTTTGATTAGAGTGAGAAAGCTGATCTCTGATGGATGAAATCTTGTTGATAAAGAATTTGTTAAACTGCTCAGCTAAATCTATATTTGATTTACAAGTTGGTAAAACTATGCCACCATTCTTACCTATAAGATCCTTTGCTATGAGCATTACCGCATTAAGATATTTTGTCAGAGTAGTAGTTCCTTTTTGTTTGTTGATAGTGGATGGTAGGCTATAGTCTTTCAGCCTTGAGTCGCCTTTGCTTTTCACTGTGCAGTTCTTCAGAAAACCACGACATGTTTGGTCTAAGTTTCACTTGTTTGGTGATGAGGGGTGCATGTTTGTCAATGATTGATGCCAGGTCAGTGTTATAAGCATCAACAGACTCATCAACTTAACCTTCCACCGAATGAAGTATGGAAGTCAATTCTATATCTTCTTGTACAGAAATGGCTCTATATTTCCGATACGACACTTCTTATGTGATAACCCTAGGTTTCACAGCACACAGGGATGCACACAATGCCACACTAACCCTTGTTAGAGTTCCTTTACAAAGGTGGGGATCATGAACAGAAGAGACCCTATGTGCAATCGTGCTACACTCACGTGTGATGACCAAGTCTAACGTGTGTCCTTGGACATGTGTGGCTCCTACAACATGGTGAACTAAATTATGACTTCAAGAAGATCTTAAAAAAGTGACGTCTATCCAAATCGTCTGAAACATCCATGTGAAAGTTAAAGTAAAAAGATTTTTTTATTTTGATAGCTCAAAAGGTATGTGCCTTGAGGGATATCTGACAGCAATACTTTTATACGTTACAACTGTTAAACTATATCTCTCTAGGTACATACCTTATAAACTATAAGAGAACTGGACAGTGATTCTATAATCTCGTTTTATTTACATATCTGTGTTCATGGCTTTCACCCCAGAATCACATTTTAGATCAGACATTGGCTGGAGCACTGCCTGTGTAGGATGATGAATTAATAAACTCAAAATGTAATGTTAGGACATGAGAATATAAACCATCCCGTAGCTTCAAAATCATGACAAAAACAAACCACAGAATCAAAACACGATAAAAAGTGTGGGTCAAAAAGTTAAAAGAATATTTGTTCAAACTCGAAATAGATGGATCGAGATCAAAAACATATTTTTAAAACCCCATTTTCATCGAGATCCAAAACAACGTAGGGCGAAAACAAACACTTGGTTGTCAGTTTGTCTGTCAATTGTCGACATCGTGAACGAAAAACCTGATATTAGATACTGTGCAATCCTATAAACGTCATTTGCGACATAGTAACACAACCATTAAGTTTAGAATTGGAAAATTAAAAACATCACGTTAGGGAATTCGAAATTATCTTATCATACAGATAGGTTGAAAGTTGTTTCTGTTGATTTTGTTATAGGAAAGATCACAATGAATGATCAAAACACTTGGACATATTGACTACAGTCGCAATTACAATGGCAATATATACGACATTGTCATAAAAAGTAGCAAGGAAATAATGAAGGGTTTAAGTAACATCTTTATTTCCTCAAACATGAGAAATGTAACAAGAAAGCAAATTATCGCACAGCCAGTATAGAAATAGACAATTACTCGTTACAGAAGATTTAACCAAAGACAAACAAGTGAATGCTATCTTAGAAATACAAATTCAGGATGAGATACAACAGTTAAAATAATGAATTAGCTTACATTACATATTCATTTCGTCCTTCTAGGACTCATCTGTGATTCTCAGGACCTAGATTTTGAAAATGAAGTGACTGAGGAAAAAACCAAAGTGATAGAAAGAAAAGTTAAAATCTAGACTGGGGGCAGATTAGCCTAATAATTCAATATAAATGTCGTTAATTTCATATAATTGATAAATTCAACAGATCTTGATACATGTGTATATCCTGAACCATGCTACTCGTCGATAGGACTAAAACGTGACATGCAGGTTATAGAAAACCTCGGGAACTAAAAAATTTACAGTTAGTAGTCATTACCTCCTACAATCTCCAAGAGTGTTCAAAAGTGAATAACACATTCCAAGACAAATACATAAATGCGGTTTTCTCATGTTTACACAGACTTAGCTTTCCCATATTCACCAATGTATGTTATCAAAATATCTTCAGCTGCAGCTGTATACAGGTAGTAATATGTCATTTTTGTATTCCAATCTACAAAAGAATCTTTTCTATAAATGTTATTTTCAACTTACTAACGCAATAACAACACTACACCAGACTCTGATGAAATATCACTAATATTGATGTTTAAAGACAAACACTATTACATTAATTAGTTGTTCTGTGAATCTCCAATGACAGAACAGGCGCAGCTCTATCGGTTGTATTGATCTGCGTATCTGGGTATTTGCGTATCACGGGTAGGCGAACAGTAGATCATTGGAATGTTGCAGTGACGGTCTAGGAGTTTTCTCCACAACCTAGATAATAACAACTTTAATTTTGTACTTTGTATCTTATCTATTGTCATTTATCCATTACTACGTATGTAGAAGTGTTATGACGAAGGTAATGAAGTGTAGCTAAGACGGATTGTTACCAGCAGCACTTACACAGTTAGAAAAATATCAGAAAGGTATTGATATGTGGTTTGAAAACAAGCGACGCAAAAACTAGAAACAATGAAAAAGATCAAAGTTAAACCTGCGGTAAACAACATCAAGAGAAAGATTAATTCTCAAAAGAAGCAGCCAAAGACGCCTTCCGTCATTTTGGATGAACCTCCCGTTTACTCCGTGGTGGGCCCTTCTCAACAACTTCCGCCACCACAGGCCGTCGTGGTACCTCCGAGTTATGGAACGGGTGAGATGGTAACTCCATTGACTGAAAAAATTCCAATTGAGGATGAAACGCCAAGTCCTTTTCTACCGGACACAGACGTTCGGACATTGTGGCGTTCCTTTCGCTCAAACACGACCATGCACGGTTTGAAATATGCCAGTGAAATAAACAAATACAAGCTGAGAGGGTAAGTTAAAATTAATAGCCATGATGTGTATTGAATTCATAATTGTTTAGAATCATTAAGCTGAGAGGGTGAGATAAGAATTAATTGCTATGATATGTATAGAAGTTATGATTGTTTAGTATTAATGTAATTAGCGGATTTTTTGACGATGGTCATTCTGTCTCATGGCTGAGATTTTGTCATTCTGTCATTTTGTCATTCTGTCATTCTCTTTGTTGGTTTTATGGCAATTCTATTATATCTCCAACATCTGAGTTAATTAATTGGTACATATAGTCTTGATCTCCAGACTACCGTCTTAAGATCAACTGTCTCTGACATATCATAGTTTAAATCCCACTCTTGATGTTCATCTTGTGAACTGTCTCTAGTTTTATACATTTTTGGGAATTGTAACTGCAACTGTTCGATTCTTGTACTGAAATGTTAAAGTAAATCCGATAACCGGTAGTTTTGTTATATGTATTTCCGACAGATTACAAACTTACAGCAAAGAGAAACATGGTAAAGGCAAAGTCAAAATCAAAGTGTCATCAGAGACTTGATGGGCAGGGACTTGTCTAGCTATCGGACTTCCCTGAATATATTCAGCTTTACGTGTATAATAATAAAACATATTATGTGTTTAGTTTGCATACGTATGATTATACCGTATTAACAGCCACAACTAAGATTGTACTATACATATTTAGAATTAGACATAGTAGAGCTACCAAACATTAAAGGAACCCACATCATACAGCTTTCAAGACGACCAGGGAACCAAAGTAATCGAAAGAGAAGTCAAAATCTAGATTGGAAGGTGCATTTTCTACGTAATTCACTAAAATGTTGTAAATTTCATATACATGTATATGACAATTTTATAAGAACGTTAAACACATGTATATATTCTGAACCATACAACTATTTCAATGAAGGAAAACGTGGCATGTCGGTTATGGCAAATCTCAGGGACTTATTGTCCACCAGCAATATCTCTCACCTGCAATCTCGAAGAGTGTAAAAGACACATAAGTGAAGGAACTTCAGGAAAATCAAAATTAGTTTTACATCTCAAAAACCAGATTGGACGATATACTAATCCAACAAGTCTAAACTTTTTATCTTTTTAATTTTCAATATGGAATAATTTCAAAACCAAAAAGGAAATAACAATATGTAAAATTAACCATAACCAAACACAAATTCAATAAAACTAGGAGGAAATATGAACAAAAGAAAGTTTTACGCTGAAATTCATGTTAATCCAAGTAATTAGTGTCATGCGCATGGACATATTTTGAACCTTCCCATGATCCACACGAATTACAACATGACTTGCGGGAAAGGGGACACTCCACTGAGTTAAATCCAACAGCAAAGTCTACAAGTTTGTACAAAAGACACACAAGTGACATACCTTTTAGTACATTTGTAGTTAGATGCAGTAGAGTCACACAATGATTTAAATTGCACCATGTCGTTTTTTCGTTCGTCAAGGACTTGTGAGTGATGCTAAGGGCCTATATTTTTACGCCTATGAGGCAGCTGAAATAGCCAAAACATTGTACAATCCCGGAACTCTGGCTATCATCTACCACCCAAACCTTAGTCTATAAATAACACTGTCAGATAAAAGGACGTCAGGCAACAATAAAACGAAGTTTTAAAAGCAAATATAATATTCTTTTAATTTCAGGGTCATCTGGGTAATTGCGTTGCTGTGTATGGGTGGCTTGCTGATTTACACGTGTGTTGACCTATTTAATAAGTACGTCCAGCATACAACGATTTCCAATATTAAAATGGAACTTGTTAATGAGCTACCGTTTCCTGCCATCACCTTCTGCAATCTATCACCTTACAAGAGATCTGCAATGAAACCTGACCCAGTCATGGATCACTACCTTCTGACCTTGAGCAGAATGGCAGATTACACAGCCCCAATCAACTATGATGATCCAGCATATAGCAACTTGTCACTTCCGCTTCCGGATGGGTGGATTTACAATGTTTCAAGCACGATACCGGATATGTTTGGGGCATGTGTTGACATGAAAGACGCGATGAAAGACTGTCGTGAGGTTCTAACTCCGAAGATGACCGATGTTGGCTTGTGTTATGCATTTAATAGTAAGGAATATATCAAGCAAAATGGAGCCCTGCTCACAACCATAACGGGAAGTTCTAAGTCGCTTGCATTTTACGTCAAGGTTGACCAAGATGATTATGTATCCAGCGACAACATGGGCGCAGGCATGAAGGTAAATTTACCCTCGGTTAATTATCTGCACGAAATTTAATTCTGTTTCCTTGTTATGTTTCAATATTTCGAATACAATCATACCAATAATATCAATATGTACATATACAATTATTACCGATACTTATATAGAAATAAGGAAAGAAGGAAAGAAGATGTATCACGGATTTAAGCTTCCTCCTTTTTTCACATAACGGTAGAACTATTTTATAATGTATGTATAATCATTCACGTGTAGTATGAAATTATCTAAAATCCTTCTACATTACGCGCAGCTGATTCTGATTGGCTCTTGTTGTGTTGTGATGTATTCCACGTTGAATACTTGTAAACACTAAAACTAAAGTTATCGTCCATAAGACATCACCTGAAGACCTTTAAAGATGACGTCAGATCCATTCAGTAAACGCAGTGTTCAGTCGTGTTTTCATCAAGACAATTAAGACATTTTACTAAACGTATCATTCTACCGACCAGTAAACCTTGTAGGTCGCACATGGAAAAGGCAGATACTCAATTTTACAATAAATAAATCATCTTATTAGTTGATGGTGATATCACAAGAAATGTGTTAACACTTACGCCCTGACATGATGTCGAATCATGACTTCTCCAATATATTGATACTCCTAAATGGTATGTTACAGTCATGTGTCGAGGTAAGTGGAAAGGCTGTCATTCTTCTGTTTTTGTCTGCTTGTCAATGTTAAAGATTGAATAACATTGATGTATAGATGTAAAGTAATGAACTTCAGAAGCATTGTTGACCAAAACAAAGCGATGTTAACATATCCATTTATATCGATCCATTATGGTACACAAATAATACATTTTACTGAACAAGTTTAGCTTACGTGAATACACTTCTACAATGTGGAAAAGACATGTGGTTATATGTTTAATATTTCAGTGGTACAGTGTATATACAATATATACATTTGGAGATTATTTCCGGTATTTATTTCTTAAAATAATCTCACAGAGCAGAATTGACGTTTCAATCGACTAAATAAATATATTAATGTGAAAACACATCTTGATTAGAACATACATTCTATGAAACTATTGCAAAGTAAGAACAAAAGAATGTTTACACGGAAGGCGAGAGTCTGCTGCATGCACTCATTGCACATAATTTTTTTTTAGAATAGTCTGTGCTCAGCGGTATTTAGTGTATATATCATTGAGAACATGAAATAAATGAAAAGACTTTTCTTATCAGATTGTTGTCCATGACCCAGATGAGGAACCCGATACAGACAAAGGTTTCTTTGCGTCTCCGGGCTTCACGTCTTACGCCTCCCTTCATCTTACTAAGGTATGTCTATCAAAAAGTATTCAAATGTTATAAAACCTACCTTCCCTTTGTGATTTGATTTTTTCGAAAACTGATTCCGATAACTTTTTAAGGACATAAATGGCTATGTGCAATTATTCTATTCTTTTCTCGAATGGGCATCAAATATGGCGGCCAGAGACTCTGATTGGCTCTGAATGCAAGAGGCTATAACTCGAGAACAGTTGAAATGAAACGTTATGTGAATATTGATGATCATATCAAAATTTATTTTAATTTGTTTTTTTTTAAATCCAAGATGGCTACTACAGTAAGTGAAGTTTGATTGTTGTCATATTTTGGTAAAATCAGTACTTAGGTGTGGTCTTGTATAAGGAACACAAAGGTGCAATTAGTTTGTTGACTAGACAACAAATATAACCGTCGAAAATGTGTAAACTTTGAAACACTTTAATATTATTAATGGTGTCTGTCAGGGGGCCCGCCCATGCCTATCCACTTTTCAAGCCACATTTTCCATTGTCATCTGCTGGGCACTGGTTTACCTTTGTCATGCATGCCTTCCTCTTAAGTCTAAAGTATATCCATCAGAGGTCAGATATCCTGTTTTAGTGTAGATAGGGTAAGCTGATGAGTAGAATTATTTCTTATTTCAATAAGCAATACTTTCTAATAGCAGGGATAGTTTGGGGAACTTTTGTAACGATCTCCGTTACAATTAGAACTTGTTACAATCTGTGTTTCTCAAATTTCATATCAAGTGAATATTTAGGTACAGTTACATATTCATGTTGACTCATCTTATGATGGAACAATTTGCCTCAATCAAGTCACATCCTTCGCTTTCTATCCAATCAACCATCTATTATAACATAGAGTAAACACACGTAAAACTTTACACAGAGATTAGGACAGGAATATATGTAAACATAGTTTGATATCAACTCGGAAATAACATAATCCAGTGGGAGTTAATAGCGCACGATGGTCAATACCGTATCCATTTGATGAAGTAACTGCTTCAGATATGATGTGTGTATAGAACAAATAATGTTTAAACAAGTAGCAAAGTCACGTGTACGACTGTTATTGTAATTCTACACAGTGCACGTGTACTGGTTCTAATGTATGTCTTTCTAATAATGGTAGAAACACGTTCGGGGACGGTAAGGCTGTTCTAACGCACGGTATAACCTCTAACGATTTCCATACTAATCTGACGAGTCACAGTAAGGTAACTATCTGGTTTGATTCATTATTTATCTTTACGGTAAATGCAGTGTTACAAGGTGCTTTACACATCTGATTATACAGTCATTGACAGAATGTCGTTCGATACTCATATTGAAACCTATTAGTATTCAATCTTTAGTAATGCAAAGTGTACAATATCTGGATCAGTTATACAATGTATATCGATGTCTCTGAGGGTTTTCACAATGGCTTGATCAATAACATTGCACCCAAAAGTATTTATTTACTTATTCTTAAAGCGTTTTTAACATCAGTTCTTTTTGAAGTGTTTGTTGATCGACGGTAAATGCAATTTATTAAAACGAGTATAGATAATAATCAAGTGTAGTTCAAACACTTTCACAACAACAGCAGCAGAATTAATGGACTTTGGGAGACGTAGATACTAAAGTTAAACATTTGCATTGAGCAGTGTTGATTTTTTTAAAAGGTGAAGCAAAGACATCTTGTTGACAGCGAACACAATATGTCATTCCAGATTCTGTCTAACCGATGACATATTCCTTAACAAATGAAGGTAATCTTGTGAGTATTTTATGTTTTGTTACCAGTACAAGTACATTCCGTATCCGTATCAGTCCAGTGGAGGAGGCTACTGTCTCGACACCAAAGACGGGAGTTTCACGAACCCATTAGAGTATCACGAGTTGTATAGTCGTAAAGCGTGTCTGAAGGAATGTAAATACCGCTTCCTGGTCAGTATGTGTGGCTGTCAAGCGCCGACGGACAACGGTTAGTATTTCGTTTCTGCCACGCATTAAATGACATCTGTAAGCATTTGACTTCTTCCTGGCCTCATTATATCTGTAAGAATTCTGTTGCTGGCAGAATATATGGTTTCAGTTAGACGTTCAGTGACATTGCTATATTCTTAGTTTTTTCAGGCGCCCAAATACATTTTAAGTACAGTGGTTTTGGTTTCGACTGGGCGCCTACTGATATCGATAGGTCCTTGGTTTCTTCCGGGCGCATTCCTATATTGGGAAGTTCTGACGTATGTCGTTCTGTTTCTGTCAAGTGCCCGATTACATAAAAACAAGGGAGTTGCTGCCCGGCATCGGTATTGACTCTTCAAGAGTCAAAATTGAAATAAACTGAAACATACCTACTGCTGTTTAACGGGAGATAACTCTTTTATGTCTGTGTAATTTCACGTATTTCTATCATACCAGGACATTTCCGGACGTGTTTACCATATAGTTACTTGCATTATTTATCAAATTTATTAAGGATATTAAATTTTTCACTTCTTGCCTAAATATATTCCAATTCTCCTTAATTACAAGTTTATTTCCATGATTAATTACAATTACAAAAGTTGATTATTCCATTAATAGAACATGTCAGTTCTGCGATATACAACTTTTCAGTGTTCAACATGGCCAATCTTATTTATGACCACAATCATTTCTTTCATTTGGAAAATTAATTCTTATTGATTTATTCATAACAGGAACAGAGAGGATCTGTACACTGAGGGAGTATGCGCAATGCTATGATGTATACTCAGGTAAGTATAATGATTCCATGTGTATTTATAACGATGCACGTGTCATCCACTATTTAAACTGCATCATACAGCTGCTTTGGCATCCTAGTTCTCATCTATGGTGCTAAGGGCCTAGATTTTGAAGCCTAGAAGACTGAGAAATATCCAATGTGACTAAACGAAAACTCAACATCTAGAAGGGGAGATGCAGCATCCCCACAATTAAATATTTTTTAAAATTTTCATAAATCAGATATTTGTAGAACAACGTCAAGCAATATGTGTAACGGGTTTGTAAAACGGACTCACAGATATAACATTAAATATCTTTTTTCTAACGAGATTTTAACCAATGAGTGTTTTAAGGGGTCTGATTTTGTCGGTATATATTAAATATGACATTATTATTGGTTACATTATAAAGGTATAATTCATGTCGTGTTATATACCAACTCGCTTCACCAACTCGCTTCACCGACTCACTTCACCGACTCGCTTCACCAACTCACTTTACCAACTCATTTCACCAACTCGCTTCACTAACTCCTTTCACCAACTCACTTCACCAACTCATTTCACCAACTCACTTCACCAACCCTTGGTATTCTAGTAACGCAGAGAACTGACCACACCTAGGTATAGTGTAGCATTCAATCATTTGTTAAGTACCAAAGGGGGGAAATGAACGAGATATACTGCAGAACAACCTAGTGATTATATTTATATAAATGGATAAACAACACGTAACAATGGTACATCAGGAGAAAAGTGGGAATTTTCCCGTTGTATCCATCCGTGTCTTCAATCTGAATATACCCACACAGAAATGGACAAAGGTACTCCAGCAATGTTTAAAATGTAAACAACGAGAAAACAACACAGATGCCGTTAGCATTTTCAAATTATTGGGGTTAATGTGGCAGCATATTTACCAACCTATGTTAGCTTACCAAATTATTGGGGTAAGTGTGGCAGTATATTTATTAACCTACGTTAGCTTACCAAATTATTGGGGTAAGTGTGGCAGTATATTTATTAACCTACGTTAGCTTACCAAATTATTGAGTAATTGTGGTAGTACATTTACCAACCTACGTTAGCTTACCAAATTATTGGGGTAAGTGTGGCAGCATATTTACCAAGCTACGTTAGCTTATCAAATTATTGAGTAATTGTGGCAGTATATTTACCAACCTACGTTAGCATTACCTAATTATTGGGGTAATTTTTGAGGTACATTTACCAACCTAGGTTATAATTACCGAATTGTTCTATTTCCAGTCTTCCTTTTACTTACCCGAGACCATTAGATATATGGTTTTATACTCATATCATCCTTTAATTTCCTAGCCCACTATACACGGAACATGACCTTACAGAAAGCGTGTCATTGCCCGATGCCCTGTGAATTTAACAAGTACATTGCCTCTGTTACCACCGCTTACTTTCCGTCTAAACCAAACGACTTCTTCTTCACTCAGATGGGATTCACAGATATGAGGTAAGAACTGCCCACTGCCCACTGCCCAATTCTACTGTTTTACACGACTTTCCCAAAAATCACATTATGGTTTCCCCTATCAATTACTTAGGTGTATATCTTACTTGTATACTTTATATTATTGATCCCAGCAGCCTATTGAACAAACTACATTGTATTTACATTTCATTAAGGAACAATATGTTTGTTTCATGCTCGTTATTGTGCGTGATAGTTCTGTTGTTGTTTTCATTGCCAAAGAACTTGCTTGTGTTGATCAAGATTTAAATGTCGGATGTCGTTGATCCATACCAACGGGTCACTTACCCATAGGAGTCTCCTCCGTCACCCCCACCAATGTCTTTATCGTCTTAGAATTCTGAATGATATTTTGCTGAAATGTCGGCATTTCCTTTATTGTTTTCTACCGTTGATATTGACTTCAATTACAAGACCTATGTAATATTTTAGTTAATACTAACTCTTTTAATAACAGAACCAATTTCATGGAAATAAGGCTTTTCTTCGACACCCTGAGTTACATGAAAGTCGAGTACCAGGCGGAGTATGACTTGGAGAAGATAGTAGGTAAGTAAGATCTACCACATGGTCAGACAGTTATTTAGGTATCATACGCGTGGTAAACCACAAATACAATGATATAATGGACTATTTTCTTTGGGTATTAAGTTTATTGTAAACAAATTTTTAAATTTAGTGGTTTAAAAAAAATTGTAGCCAAAGGGATTTGGTCGGTTGGTACATTTTTACCATTTCGTTTTACGTTCTGTTTTCACTGCTTTTCACTCTGATGATGGATACAGTGCAGAACTGAAAACGAAACGTCTCTCCAAAATTTTATTATTGGTTGTGATGCACATCGTATATATAGTACTTTATATAAGGTTTTTAGAGCTTGGTATTTAAACAAGATCACTATGCCCATTAGCCCCGTCAATATCATGACATAGCAGCCTTTATTGATGCGTGTGAAGAACTCTTCAAATACTCAATACCACCGCATCTGCAAAGGTTGCCATTATTGTACTTTAAAGATGAAAGTAGATTTTATTAAATAAAATAACCATCATATTTGAAATAATAATAACAGCAACGTGCCAATAGAGTTATTTTTTCTTTAGTTTTCTGGATTCTGTGTCTTTATTTGGTCTTACCTACATTTGTTAGGTTAGGACCATATGCTCTACATGAGAGATTTTGATAAACCAAGAAGCAATAACAAAATTTGTATGCAAAGTTTAGAGGGGCATTTTGTACAATTTTCTCATACAAAATATATGTCTGTGTGGTTATATTCACAGCGACTTTAGGAGGACAGATGGGGATATTCCTGGGTGCCAGTCTTTTGACGCTATCGGAACTGGTGGAGTTCTTGTTGATGGCCGCTCTCGTGTGTTGCAAGAGAATCACCAACAAAAAGCGATAAATATATAAACACAGCTTTTCCCGCAAAACAATACAGAAACCAAGATTGTTCTAACTGATTAGAAAACACAGTTTTCTTAAATCGTTGTGATATATGCCTACTTCTTATTAATTGTACGAATTGTTTCAATTTTCTGTGACTTTAAAGACAAATATCATTATGTGTACAGCAATGATGTTTAATAATATGTTTTTTAGACGCACACCCCGATAACAAGCATGGTAATTTACATCAGTCATTGATTCAAACCAGGGTAATGAGTTTGTGTCAAAATATCACGATTTTCGCGCAAGATGTCGACAACCGTCACACTCTCACAACACAGGGTTTTGAGAGATGCAAGTAGTTGAACATTATGAGGAAGATTTACTGTCGTCCGAGTGATCTCATTGAGGAATATTCTGTTTCTTTATGCGATATGGATCTGGACGTGTTTGATGCTCGTTAAGATGTCTGTTGGTTCTGTTGTATTCTTTGTTCTCATGTGGGAACATGAAATTACTTACTTGGATTTACCAATGTTTACATGGCGAATATCGCCAATGCAGCAGAAGACACTTACTCTTCCGGAACACCTTGTCTTATTCTCTACGTAGGTTTTTTAATTTTTTTATGCGTATCCGTGTAAATGTTTATGTTGTTCGTATTAATCCACACCAGACTGGTGTTCAAATTTTCTGATTTGTTATGTAAACAAGGCAGCATGTTACTAGCGATAAATGCTTTCGTAGAACTTGTATTTGAGATATACTCACGATTACGTGTATATAACATAAGCACTCGGACAGATACATTTGGCAATTGATTCCAGGACAACATTGTAAACGTATATGATTTCAATCGTTTTTTACTGTTAAAATAAGGTAGCATAAGATATATAATTCTCTCAAATTTATTAAAAATTGAAAACTGTTTACAACCAAAGCGAAAATTGTAGTCAAAGGTGTAAATATATTAAGTCTCTGTGTAAGTATTTCTTTTGTTCATATTTAATACTTCATCGAAATCGAGTTTGAATTAAGGCTCTTCTTACGTGTAGGTATTGATTCGTTGTTGTTGATGGAAATGATTGGAAACACCCATAAACAAATGTTAAGGCTATTAGGAATATTATCTTATATTGTTTTTTCTGTTCTTTATCATTGTTTTCAATTTTTAAATGTTCTTTTATACCAGGTAGTCTCACTGAAAGTCACCGTAAGTGTATTCATGCGTGTTCGTATGTTTAGGTGTCCAACTGGATACTTAATTTACTGCCTAGAACACGGTTTACTTTCTGTGTTGTAATAATGAAGCTGTCAGATAATTGAATTATTTTAATTTGCGATCATTATTTTCCTAGTGTAGATAAGTAATTGTCTTAGTCTTCGATGTTTTTATCCTCCAAATTCCGTCAACAGATCGATAAATTTATGGACCTCGGTCCCCTCTGTCTTAAAGTTCATTTGACTTGTTATGTGCTTGAGATATGATTTACACACGCCTTAACACTTGGTTTGTTGTTTTTGAAAATGTTTCAACTCTCTACATTGTTTGAATTTTCAACCTTTATAATTTGTACGTGTCTGTGTTATCATCATCATATCAATACAAGCAAAATTCAGAGAAAAATACCATTATTGAGTATATTTGTTTATACATGTATAGCTTTTAAATCTATAACTTTCAACAAATGGTTTTGTATGATAGCTTTAAAATTAGTTGTCACAAAGACATAAAATGATTTGTCAATGAGTTTGACCTCTTGTCATATCAACGCCTCGATTTCATTTGATACTCTTACATGCTTTTAGTATTAAATGTAAGGGACAAAAACGCTTTGATCGGATATATCCTGTTTCCCATTAACCTTGACGTTTTCGTTACATTCAATAAAATAAATCATTAGATCATGTTTGAGGAGAAAATGAAGAAATAAAACACCTGTCCTGTAAAGTGAAGTCATCATTATAGAAATAGTAAAGTGTATTTAATGAAACGAACATTAGAATACAATTTCCTGTGATATTATTGTTTGTTTTGGTTAACATCATTAAAATAGCATTTAAGGCAACGTTTGTGTTTATTTCGTTATTGCACAATTGGTGACCTAGAATGTACAGATACAATGTTATAGACCCTCGCCCTCATTAACCTGGTGAATATTAATAAAGAGATCCAGTTTGATTACACACCTGATGAATTGGATATATAAACTCGGTTTATACTACAACTGATGAATCGTGATATAAAGACTCGGTTTTATACCACCCCTGATGAATCGTGATATAGAGACTCGGTTTTATACAACCCCTGATGAATCGTGATATAGAGACTCGGTTTTATACAACACGTGATGAATCGTGATATAGAGACTCGGTTTTATACCACACCTGATGAATTGTGATATAGAGACTCGGTTTTATACCACACCTGATGAATCGTGATATAGAATCGTGATATAGAGACTCGGTTTTATACACACGTGATGAACTCGGTTTTATACACACCTGATGAATCGTGATATGAGATCGGTTTTATACAACCTGATGAATCGTGATATAGAGACTCGGTTTTATACCACACCTGATGAATCGTGATATAGAGACTCGGTTTTATACCACACCTGATGAATCGTGATATAGAGACTCGGTTTTATACCACACCTGATGAATCGTGATATAGAGACTCGGTTTTATACCACACCTGATGAATTGTGATATAGAGACTCGGTTTTATACAACACCTGATGAATCGTGATATAGAGACTCGGTTTTATACCACACCTGATGAATCGTGATATAGAGACTCGGTTTTATACAACACGTGATGAATCGTGATATAGAGACTCGGTTTTATACCACACCCGTGATATAGAGACTCGGTTTTATACCACACCGTTCGTGATATAGAGACTCGGTTTTATACCACACCTGATGAATTGTGATATAGAGACTCGGTTTTATACCACACCTGATGAATCGTGATATAGAGACTCGGTTTTATACCACACCTGATGAATCGTGATATAGAGACTCGGTTTTATACCACACCTGATGAATTGTGATATAGAGACTCGGTTTTATACCACACCTGATGAATCGTGATATAGAGACTCGGTTTTATACCACACCTGATGAATTGGATACAGAGACTCGGTTTTATACCACACCTGATGAATCGTGATATAGAGACTCGGTTTTATACCACACCTGATGAATTGTGATATAGAGACTCGGTTTTATACCTCACGTGATGAATTGTGATATAGAGACTCGGTTTTATACCACACCTGATGAATCGTGATATAGAGACTCGGTTTTATACCACACCTGATGAATCGTGATATTGGATACACCTGAGACTCGGTTTTATACAACACCTGATGAATTGGATACAGAGACTCGGTTTTATACAACACCTGATGAATCGTGATATAAAGACTCGGTTTTATACCACCCCTGATGAATCGTGATATAGAGACTCGGTTTTATACCACACCTGATGAATCGTGATATAGAGACTCGGTTTTATACGGTTTTATACCACACCTGATGAATCGTGATATAGAGACTCGGTTTTATACAACACCTGATGAATCGTGATATAGAGACTCGGTTTTATACCACACCTGATGAATTGTGATATAGAGACTCGGTTTTATACCTCACGTGATGAATCGTGATATAGAGACTCGGTTTTATACCACACCTGATGAATTGTGATATAGAGACTCGGTTTTATACAACCCCTGATGAATCGTGATATAGAGACTCGGTTTTATACCACACCTGATGAATCGTGATATAGACTTTTTTTTACTCAGTCCTTATTTTTGAGGGATGCAGCTACATGTATAAAACTGAATAAACGTGTTATGTTTTCCGGCGTGATCTTTTTCTATTTTCTTTTATGAAATGGTGGTTAAAGTGCCCGGGCTTGTTTATAAATTGAAATGTCTGATAGTATTGATGTACGTACCCTGGTTCGCGAACGTGTGATGATTTGTATTTATGCTGTGTCACAGTAGAAAATTCTCAGTTTGTTTGGTCACTGAGTACCAGGTCATTCTGGTTACATTAAATTCTGTCCTAGCGATTCTTCTTTTTAGCGATGGTCTTTATGTTGTAATACCATATGTTGATGGATCTGAAATACGTCTTTTGTTAAAGATATGCTATTAATTATTGGAGTTCATCTTTTTGATCTTCTATAATCCCTTTCAATACATAATCCAAAATTCTGGAATGTTGTTATGTCATTCACCTGCTATCATCTTTTTAGTGTCGTTGGGAAAAACAGCTGTCGTTTCAAAACATTATATTCACCGATAAATTTAAAATAGACATCTGCGCTCCAATATTCCAGAACGGAACGAATGTCTATTGACAATAGAATGATATCTTGATGTTAATTTGCAGTACCACGATATCAATAATTTGAAAAAAAAGATTAACAAAAGAATATACGAATATAAATAAACTTGTTATTCAGTAGGTGAGATCTTCTAGTACAGTTAAAAACATAAGCAATTAAAACCCCCACAGAATGTTTTGATATGTAACGATTAATCTCTTCTACTTGCCATACATTATTCAACCTAAAATTTGCATACGTTCGTAAGGGTCGGTCACAAAGAGAAAGATATTAAAACAATGCACATCGATACCTGGTTCGCTATAATAATCGCCACACAGTGATTTTATCAATGTAACTTCATTAATGCTCAATACTATGGGCCTTAAAAGAAAAATAACAGTAACCCAATAATCGATGGTCGGTTACCTAGTTGATATTAACATATAAAACACATAACACAGTTATAAGGAGCGACTAAGCAATCGCTTCAGTGTGTCAGAGGCTTAGTTTCGTTTTGGGATTTAGAAATTTAAAAAAGCGATATATATATATATATACATTACAGAGAACGATAAATTCTGACAATGCATCGGAAGCAAATTATGAACAAAATAGCATCTCTGATGAAAACTTTTGAAGAATTTTAGTGTTCCGAAAGGATA